CACTCGTGTAAACTAATAGAGTACTGAGTGTAGACTGTGCACGTGACAGTGACAATACCTAGCGTACTTCATACTGCAAAGTGCATTCAAGCTTGCGAAGTATCATCTACAAAGGGGCGCTTGGATGATGTGGTCCCTCTACTGCTGGCAGCTTGTCCTTAGCTGCATTGGAGAGGGAAGGTGTGACAACAAAATTACCGAAATTCGCAAACAGAAAATGGTAATTATTACATTCTTGTTGAAGATCAACAAGCATCACAACAACCAGTCGTTAAAGTTATGTTCAGGCTGGAGATCATTGTGAAGGGCAGCTGCCATCCAATGAACCATCCTAATGCAAGGGCCGAATTGACTCCGTAAACGAGAACCGCCTATTACATCTGGAGGGAAAAGTTGTACACGGCCACAGTCAGTGGTCAAACAACTCCCTCAGAAACAATGCAAATTACAGTTTTAACAACTGGATAACAAGGTCCTTGGGACTTTACAAATTACCTTGTTATAACAAGTACTTTGTACAGAAGATAACAAAAAAAATCAAAATTTGGAACTTAACATTTTCCCTGTTACATGTATATGCACAATGTTGTATTAACAGTGCTTTTCTTATCAGGGTTCGACTGTACATGCACATGCACATGTAAAAAACTGCAGCAATTTCAGACTTTCAGTGCAGGCAGAAACACCGACGCACACACGTGTGGCATGTCCCTTTGTCCTCGAGTCACCTAACCATGACTACTGTAGAGGGATACAGAGCATTGCTCGCAACTCAGACGGGCCGTTTCATCAACGGTGCCCGCCAGACAATAGGCGCATAGAGCCGACAATGAACTCGGCAATGTAGCCGAGAACAATTGTGAGGCTTGTAATGAGTGGACCCAAACAACCGCATCCTCATCCCGGCTGTGTTTGCCAAGGTGGGATCGGTGCAAAAAATCGCCCGAATTTGATCGAATAATAAGGGGATAGCAATCCTATTGCCGCGTGAGAAATGGACGCCGTTTGTGCATTGACATAATGATGTCGATGTACATGTATATGATCGGGCAAACAAGTGGTACTTGGCACTGTGTCGGGAGGGCACGGTTGACAAGAGCCCACTGAAGCGTGGCGGCTATTTCCCTCGGGCTGCCCCGTGCTCGGGGAAGTGCCGGGGTATAGCATAGCTCATATCGTACCCGGTCGACTGCGCCTCAGGCCTCGTGGGCTGAGCGAGCGCTAGTCGGTCCGATAGCCCGTGCAATAGCCCGTCCCGGCACCCAGTGGAACTCGCACTGTGTCGCGAGGGCATGGGTGACTGCAGCCCACTGAAGCGTGGTGGCTAGTCCCCTCGGGCTGCCCCGTGTTCGGGGGAGGGCCGGGGTCTATAGCGGCGCTCGTACCCGAGCCACACTTGCCCTGTCGGCCCTTTTTAGGCTTCGCTCCGGCACAGATCGAATAATAAGGGGATAGCAATCCTATTGCCGCGTGAGAAATGGACGCCGTTTGTCCATTGACATAATGATGTCGATGTACATGTATTCCACACACACTTGATCCAAAGTAAGTTTGGGGAACACTTCGTCATTGTTAGATGTGAAGCCCGTCCTGCGCTTCAAAGATTTAAATTTATGATCGGGCGGAAGGGCTCATCGGCGGAGGGTAATGTACCCATATCATGTCCCTCTACACAAAACGGACTTCCGTTTCTGTGATGGACAGTTGCTGTAATTGGTCTGGTTCTTCTTCATCATCGGCTGAGTCAGCCAATTGCGAAGATCGAGTTGACTCCGGTGAACGAGAGCTGTTTGGAGGGGCGAGTTGTACAGAACCACGCCGCGGTGGCTGGACAACTCCCTCGGAGTAAATAGACATCGATTGGTGAATACTCAGCACATGTGGAGATCCAGGCGCACGGCTAACTGCGTGCGGTAGGTCCACCCAACCATGGCCAGCGAATGTGAAGCGCTCGCCAAAGGCCGGGCCTCCGGTGCACGCAACCATACGTAGTATCATTGTACATTGTGTACATGTACAAATGAACATGTGCAAATGAACATGTGCCTGTACACGTACATGCACACATGTATCTCGTTGTGCTTTGGCCACTTAAAGTTATAGTCCATCATTTGTAATTTGTGCATTTTGTTCGTTTGAAGCAACAAAAGTGCTCAAAATCTAAAGAAGGGTACTGAACAACTAACCTGATAAAGTTTCAGCTCAGCTTCAGCTGTATATTCTGAGAAAAACAGCATTCTAGGATCTCAATTTCAAATCAAAAGTTGCTGAATCATGTTTTGAATTGCGCCTGAATTCAGTGTCCGAGACACGTTCTCGCTGAGCCGAATGCAGCTACGCGATGTCGCGCACTGATCTGATGAATTATAGCAACCGGGGGTGCGTGTGCGTCGTGCCAATGCTTGCGCGCGCTTCGCCAAATAACAAAACGAACTACTAATTTAAATTTTCCTACGGTGCGTCTTAAGAAGCACCGTTGGAAAGGCCTTCTTTCATTGATTACTTCAAAATGACAGCTTGCCAGAAAGAATAATTTCACAGGGAGTTTAGTTCCCTTACTATCTTTCAACCAAGTATGTTTTTCAACAATAATTACGCCAGCTACTTTTCGGATAGCTGCAAATGATGGACTATAGCTTTAACCGAGACCAACGAATAACGACTGAGCATTCACTGCAGGTAGGGACTACGGAGCACGGCTATCTGTGTACGGTATGTCCCCTTGTTCCTGGGTCACCCAGAGATGAAACTGGCATATGGCAAAAAAAATCGGAAAATAGGCCGAATAAAAATACGTGTCCGAAATCTGGGCCGCGCTGCAGTTACACACATGTACATGCATGTTCAATACACTTCATGCCCAATTTCCGGACACCAACTCCTGCTTTATTTTCGATTCAAACAAAATTTTACGATGAAAAAAAAAATGGTCAGTGTTTTCATTGCATAAAATGCCTGAATTACGGTTAGAGTAATGGAGTCATTGATAAAGAAGTTCACTTCTTACTTGAGAAAGTCGAGGGAAAAGTCCAAAAGACAAGGGCACATGGTGCTCAATCATGTCCATGATTCAACCACACAACTCCACTACTCCTCTTGCATTCATACGTGGGGAAAAATCAGGCATTATCTTCTTTCTCTTCCAACAAATGCCAGTGAAATGTTTCGCTAATGCTCTCTTCGCTATCCTTGAGATAATCATCACGATTTTTCAAGCATTGCATTTTGTACAACTAAATCTGAAACCACCGAAAATCGCACAACATAATGATTTTATCCACTGGATCGTTCACAAGGCTACCCGTTCCTGACCGGCCATGTGCTAGCGGACGGTACGGTGCGGTACGTACGCTGGTACCATTGCATATTCGCACGCACGTGCGACACAGTGATTTTTCCATGTCACCTGTCAATGTTTAACCTTTTGTCCAGCCGGAGAAGGCTCTGATCAGTGTTATGGCCTGTGTTTCTACCGTTTCTACAGTCTTTTACACGACTGGTAAAAGAGATTAAAACTACGTTCGCGATGATTTTAACGTGCCATTTCCATCGACTTTTCTTTGAAATTATGATTGAAATAAAATTACATTTACACACTGTAAAAAAAAAATCGAAAATTTCGTTGGAAAATTCAAAAAGTCGGATTTCCGATTAAAATCGGAAAAGTTTCATCTCTGGGGTCACCCAATCGTGACCTGCGACTGAAGACTGTGAAGCGAAACCAACGGCCGAGGGTTGTGAGGCGTGGCTCGCCGCTTCACGGGGGCGAACAATAGGGCTTCAGTATGGGGGCGTTTGCCCCGGTGGGACCAGTCAGAAGAGCCGCCAGCGTCTGAAGAACAGCGTGATATCAGCGATCAGCCTTCTTCTACTTCTCTGAAGAACGGCCCCGGGGTGTGTCAGAGGAAATGCCGGAAGACACCTGGGGCACCAGGACCCCCGAACAACGGATGAAATCCGATGACGAGAATGGTCCCTCAGGGCGAGATATAACGGGCCCCTGTCGGGCCGGGGTTTCCCCGGGCGACCGGCTCCGTGTTGCTCATATAGCATACCCGACCAACGCCTCAAGCCCCGTGGGCGGAGCGAGCGCTGGCCGTTCCGACAGCCCGTGAAATAGTCCGTCCCGGTATGTGACAAATCGGTTCTCCCCAAACGCTTCATACTAAATCAAGAAGACGATGAGAAACTCTACAGATTGTTGTTATTTAACTCTTTTAATAAATAAACTTCTCTTAGGCGAAAAAAGGGTAGCAAAATGACGAAGAAAACAGGAGCTTATTTTACACACGTCCTACCCGACCCGCCGCTAAGAGAAAAGAGGACGCTCACATGGCACGCACGCCACGGGGCATTATGGGTAGGGCACCAGAGGGCGCTATTGTATAAAACTCTTAGCGGAAAATACCTGCCGGTCTAGGGAATATGCAAAAGTAGTAATTGCTCTACAGGTAAGTAGAGTGAAGTAGACACTTAACAATTGTTGACTGTTGTGATGAGGAATACAGAGTTTTTAACACATGAGGGATGCACCAACCTGGGGCGGGGGGGGGGGGGGGGAGGGTAAAATGACATATCCCACATCACAGCAGTCAACAATTGATTTGTGTTACATGTATATCGTGCCAATAATTCAACAAGATAAATGTTTTCTGTTACTATTCCTGACATAAATGCAATCACTGCAGTGTAACCTCTTGATTATTGTGAGCTTTCCTGCCAGACACGAGACTGAGAGGTTGTACTTTTCTGTGGCGAGGTGTGTGGGCCCTATCTGTATGTATACACACATCTCCATGCATGCACACAAATGCAGGGCGGTATATGAGATAATTTATATGCAACGTGGTGCGTATATGAGGTGATTAGTATGCAAAGCAGTTTATTTGAAGTATACAGTCATGTTTATAGACCAGACACAGCCGTTCTTGACCAATGAAAATTACAGTACCCAAGATACAATGTAACAATAATTGAGAATAATAAAAAATGCCACCTACATTCTGTCCCTGTGCAACTGCTGCTGCTCGAAGCTCACTCAGTTGTTGCTGAAGTTCTTCAATCTCTGCTTGTTTCTGTCTCTTCTCTGATGCTTTTTCACTTTGTGCCTTGGCCTAGATGTATAAAACCAGGAAGACTTGCCGTCAATATACTAACAAGGCCATTTTACTATTGACATCTATAGAGCCATAGATCTTCAACCCAACCCTGGATTGAAAGTTTGAGTGAAACAAAGATTTACATTACACAAATCCCCCTCCCAGAAGTGTGGGCTGACACCATTAGCGAGTATTTACCCAAAGATTACACAACATAAGCGATATTTCCCCAGAGGGTGCTAGCCTTTCACTAATACTGATTTCCCACAGTACATTTGCAGCCCAACATCCATAAGGCGAGCCACCAAAAATACATTGATCATTGCGAATGTGCACGCCAGGAATGCAATATTTTGTTTTATAGGCCTTATTAGCCTACATACCTATCCTTGTTATTTGATTGGTGGAACTCACGTCACGTGACATTCGTTATTACTCCCATTCACGTCGGGGCTCAAAAAGTCCCATTCGCCCATGGGGAATGAGAAATACCATTGAACAGTTAGGATCATTCTTGTTCCATGATGCGGTATTTGAGTGCAAATGCATGCTGGTGTGCGCATTCAGCGTTGCGCGTAGCACATATTGTTCCGATGAGCCAGCGCTACAGAGTTGGGTTGAAACATTTTCGTAAAGATGAGAGAAATACATTTTCCACCAATTTTGTATTAAAATAAAAGTTCAAATATATCAAATGACAAGGATCTATATATGTCAGTTATATAAAACAAATATTGCGTGACTTTAAATTGTGAAATGGGAGGAATATTATCGCTCGGTAAAATCTGGACTTTTCCAGTTCACTAGGCTTTGCCTCATGAAATGGAAAAGTCCAGATTTTAACTTGTGATGATATTCCTCCCATTTTACTCTGAGCATGGTCATAGCTCCATGCTCTGAGCTACTCAATATTTGTATACTAGCTACTAGTGGGGCTGTTGAGTGATACGATTGTGCTCTTTGTGACTAAAGCATGAAACTTCGCATGTTGGTTCTTCATGCCATGACTTTTTCAAGACCCAATTCTAAAAGTTAGGTGTTCATGCTATGAAAAGCATTTTCATATGAAGGGCATTTCATATCTGACCTCTGGTGACCTTTAAGAGGTCAATGAACTTTGTATGCCCTATTTATAGATATTGATAAGATTTATTATTCAAAACCCCACTTTTTTATGACCCAAGTCTGAAAGTTGGCTATTCGTGACATGAACAGAATTTCCAGATGTGTGAACATTCATATTTGACCCCTGGTGACCTTTATGAGGTCGATAAACTTTGCATACCCTATTTGCCGCTATTTATCATATTTAATATTCCAAATGCCACCTTTTCATGACTTAAATCTAAATAGTTCAAAACAAGTGTATGTAAGTATTATTCTACCGCATGTCATGAATTCAGACCCCAAGGACAATTTTGTTATGACCTCTGATCTCCATTTCCCTTTTTTGAAGGGTAGACAGGGGCGCAACAGAATACAAGAGGTACATTGGACAAGAATCACACTCTTACAGTGACCAGTGGGCTCGGTAAAAAGGTTAAAAATGTGGTGACCCAAGTCCATCTAGATACCACAGAGTGTAATAAGTACACAAGAGTGACTATTGTTAGACATTTGTACATATTACATTGTAAAGAAAGTCCAACAGTCTTCTATCCCAGTCGCAGCATGTTGTGTCTGCCAATTGAAAAAGGGAAATGGAGGTCAGATGTCACCCCAAATTTTTTTGTGGGATTTGAATTCATTAAATGACTTTATAATAATAGGTGCAATACCTTTCTTTTGTAATATTGAGGCTTGGGTCACAAAAAAAGGCGTTTTGACAAATAAATATAAAAAAATAGCGAAAAATAAGGTATAAAGTTCATTGACCTTTTAAAGGGTACCAAAGGTCAGATAATGATGTCCCTATATCTGAGAATGCTTTTAATGTCACAAAGAGCCAGCATTTAGACTTGGGTCCTGAAATAGTTGGGTTTTGAATAATAAATCTTATAAATATCTATAAATAGGGCATACAAAGTTCATTGACTTCTTAAAGGTCACCAGAGGTCAGATATGAAATGCCCTTCATATGAAAATGCTTTTCATAGCATGAACACTTATCTTTTAGAATTGGGTCTTGAAAAAGTTGGGGTTAAAGTGCTCATCTTATAAATTACTATAAATACTGGATATATAGGTCATTGACCTCTGAAAGGTCACTGGAGGTCAAGTATGATTTTTTTCACATCTGATCATTATTTCCATTGCCTGAAGACCTATGACATAGACTGGGGTCATAGGAAAGTGGTGTTTCCAAGAACAATTAGTATAAATAATGTATGTAAAGTTCATTGACCTCTCAAAGGTCACCAGAGGTCAAACATGAAATGTCTCTACATCTGAAAATTTTCTTCATGGCATGAAGAACCAACATGCGAAGTTTCATGCTTTAGTCACGAAGTGCACAATTGTATCATATATTTGACCTTAACAGCCCCACTATACCTCCCATTTGCAAGCGTGCTCACAGCCTCTGTTCTACCTGCATTCCTACAACAAAAGACCTGTCATGGTCTGTGCTCTTATGAAGGACTCAGTAGTATTCACCTGTGGCACAAAAGTATGCGCTAAAAATGTTGTTCCGTCCTCACTACAGAAATGGTACCTACAAGCACCATGGAGAGGGAAAGGCAGTTCAGGGCAAACAGCACCATCAGGAAAATGTATTGTCATGTATATACCTTGGAGACTCAATCCAAGTGATCTTTCACATGATATTGGCAAGAAACCAACTTTTTACTATGGCTAATCTGTCTGTTAAAGATGCCTAACCCAATTTCATGTTTACACACATTTTGATTTTTAACCCTCCTATGCAAACATACACTCTGTGCCAAGTTGTCCTTGCAGTAAAATTCCAGCACACATAAAGCAGGATTGACTGCCTTGGAATGATTAAGTAAGGCGGCTTACCGTTTGGTCCTAACCATTCTTACTCAAGAAGTTTCTATCAAACAATACAATGTATTACTCTGATTTTATCATTTATCAGTCTTCTCTCTGGAAGATTGCAATCCATGGCAAACATGGAGAAAAACAACGAAAAAGAAAGGTTTGCAGTGTGCTAATGCATCGACTGCTAGTGCAACAACATGCTGCAGTACAACAGGCACGAGTACAACTGTACAATAACCAATCCTGCCTGTATTACCATACCAACCGCGATGAAGTCTCACTCAAAGCCAAGGCCAGCGCGGGTAACTCCGACTCTTCTAAGCCAAAAAAGGCCTTTTCAACATCTCGGAAGAACAACGATATTGATATGTCAACCAGACTCACACGCCTTCAAGAAATACTGGCAAAACAAGCCACCGAAAATCAAAATGCTTAGGTGATCATGATGGGTGACATGGCGAATTCCAACATGGTGGCCAACGCTTACACTGAGTGCGGTGACAATGTCATTGTCACCGCCTGATCATTGAATGATCACGCAAGTACTTACTCAGCCTTTGCGGCCATGAATACCGACTCAAATGTTGATTATTTTTATATTTCCTTAGAGCATCAACAGTCTGAGGAAATAACTACATCACCCACTGGCCCAAATATAGCTCCCCCAGTGGTCATGGTGGACACAGACTCAAAGCATGCATGTTAAGCCAGTACTGCAACCACCAGCAGTGCTAACATTAGTATGAGCACTAGTATTAGTACTAGTACAACAGACAAAGGCTTTGCAGCAAGATTTACCACTCCTTCTGGAGTAGATAACCCCATTAAATTGGCTAAAACCCACTCCAGGGATTTGAAATTGCAGAGAGTGCAGAAGCCAATCATCAAAGGGATTACAGCCCTGACTCAATCTTGAACTGTCAGGCCCAACCCTCAAACACACCAAAAAGACGTCCTAAGTGACACAAGACCTACTGCAATGGAGGTAGGTATGTACACGAGCCGTAATTCTGAATGGATTGGGGGCCGTTTGAGGCTGTATAGTTATGGGAAATCTTACTTCAGACAAACTTATCCTGCAAGCCATTAAAGGGTATCATTTGGAGGAATTGATTCTTTTCTTAAACAGCTTTACACCCGCCTCTGTACTAACTAACTTTGGAAGAGGTTGAAATCAAGTGTAAGCAAAGACAACCTGTCCTTATGAGTTCTATTTATGGGCCACCTTCAAGTTCTGTTGAATTTAAAGATAAACTAGGTGATATTACTGATATGGCCTCCTGTGAACGTAAAGAAATGATTGTAACTGGCGATTTAAATTTTGATGTTTAGGAAACAATGGTAGTGTAAACTCAAACACAATTACTAAATGACGCAACTCATACTTGACCCAACCCGTGTTACTGCATCCACTCAAACTACATTCTTCTCATTTTCAGCTTCCAGAGCTCATAAAAGACTGTGGTGTCTTACCAGTTCTAATACGTGATGACTCTCTTGTTCATGATCTACATAAAATGAAAGGCAGTTCCAACAATTTTTGAACTTTTAAAGATATACACAATGATGCTCTAAAAGAAGTGGCAACATGTGCTAAACTGCCATGATGTGGACTAAGCATCATCTATTTGGCACTCCTTATTTATGAGTAATAAATAACTTCTACGTTCCAGTGAAAACTATAAGTATTTAAGGTACCTCCTTATATTGGCTTGACAGTGAAATTCTGCAACTTATGAGGCAGTGTGATCGTGAACACAAAATCCGCTAAACGCTCAGGCTTGCAAACCCATTGGGATTCTTACAAAACACTGCGGAACACGATAACTAACAAGTCAGTGTTTACAAACACAAATGCCCCGCAACCGTGACTGTTCCCATGACATAACGCCACTCTTTTAACATTAACTTACATGTACATGTTCATGTACTTGGGTCACATGGAACATTCATTGACATCATTATTGTTTTCTGTAGGTTTTATATGAATTAATCCCTATGATCTCAGAATAAATACAACATTTCTATTGTATCAGCCACTGTGACCTTGACCCTTGACCTTTTGGCCCCAA